TTAAAGTACCGTTTTGCCTTTTTCAATTTCTCGTTGATTTCCTTTGCCCATCCGTGACCTTAACAAATATATAAGTATAATYARCACTTTCTAACGAAGGAGGGTTTTTAAAAKGGATTTATCTCCTACCTTTCCCGAAGTCATCACCAATCTTCTCGGTTATTTCTTGAAGATCATCAAATGATTTTGATCMAGTAGCCGAGAAGTAATCAAGKCCTWGCAAACACTTTMTTACAGAAGCRGAACAAACGGAGAKAATTCTACAAAGAGTACTTCTGCTTGCAGGCTGAAAGAAAGTATCTTTACAATATCCCAAGTACTGACGAACTATTTGCTCTGGAATAAGAGTACGCACAACGCTAGGGACCTTGATTTGTTGACTGGAAGACAATTTAAGGACCTTTTCCCCAAAGGGTATATCTTGCACAATGTGGCTGCTTGTAATGAATGTGATAAAGTGATCTAGTTTCTGTTGGTCGATATACATTCTAGTACTTCTGACTGCTGGTAAAACAGTTCCCCTGCCATGTAATAGGGTGTGGTGTCGCGCTATATTAAAGTAGCTCGTATCTCGGTAAGTTCAGGGATCCATTTYTTCAACTCGGTAAACGGCAGTTTGTCAGCGATGATTGATAAAATTTGTCTTCTTGTGCTCCAGTGATTACTATTGTAATAACATTCACAAAGAGCCTCTATTAAACTTGAATCAAGTGAGCGGGTGTGCTCGTCCTCATTGTTGGCTAAGCACGCAAGTAGAGAGGAGGACTMTTCGGGGGCTATTTCTTCAAGACAAGTCCTTGCTACCTCTCGTCCTTTCCGGATGTAGTGACGTTTTGTACGTTCGGATGCCTCTTCCCATGGAACTGTAAGTTTATGTCTGACAGGGCTAATGTCAGGTGATGCAAGATACGAATTCAGTTTTTCTAGTGATGTACTTTCCAATTCATCTARCGTTGACTCTAGAGCAAAGCTCTTATCGCGATTTGGAGTAGTATCTACTTGTTGTGATGATTGATCTAGGTAGATGGACTTAAACATCACCTCGTTGTCAAATTCTTCACTGTTGCTCTCTCCCTTAAAAAAATAACAAAGTAGTCCTTCACTTCTTTGCTACAGACGACTTTTTATATAGGCTTGTGGACACAGGAAGCCCACAAGCATAAGTTGCTAGAATTAGCCGATAACAAAACGAGCAGGTGCCTGGGACTGAAAATTTTAAAAGTGCTACAATCTTACAGAAATCTGTTGTTGATWGATAAAGCACATATAAATTAGCTAAACTTTAAAGTTTGAGCAAGTTTAAGTCATTAGAATTGGGAATATAATTTTTCAAAAATTTCGAAAATTACAAGGAATGTATGTTTGGCTGGACGCTTTGGCTGGACACCATACATTTCTTTGTAATTTTGGCATGGTTTGAATGTCCGTAACTTTATTGCTATAAGTTCAAACATCATGAAACTTAGTCRGTAAGCCTTTTATAAGGTGATCTTCACATAATGGGGTTATTCTTTCTGGAACCATTATTTAATTAGATTTGGAAGTTCGTACCCAGTCCCTTTTTCGTTTTGTTATCGGTCAATATAAATGTATTAGAGGCGCGTGCACGCACGCACGCAATCCCTATCTGTGCTACATGTTGTGTGAAGCGCGCTACGAGTGCAAGACTCTGTTCGACCTATCACATTAGATTTAACGGCAAAAATAGCAAAGTGCCTTCTTCGAATTTGCCGTTGGATTCTTGATGTGTCTAACATTCACGCTGAATACTTACTAAACTGAGTTTCGCAAGGCTTTCAGTCACATCGCAAGAAAGTACCCCTAAGTCTTGATWTTCCTGCTTTTTTACATTTAGYWGCTCTTTTCTACACCTAGAGCAAATGCCTGTTGTAGAAAAAAAAACATGGTTAATATAAGTGAATATGTTTTCATATAAAGTCTGCATTATTTCTATACCTGAGCCAATTGGCAGGAAAATTCCAGTATGCGATAATATTTCCTCGGATTGCTGTTTATTCCACGCTCATATCTAGGCCATTTCAACCTTCGCTTGCCATGATTTGACAAAGCGGCGGGAACTCTACATCTTGTGTTTGAGCCTCTGGTCCAGCCCAAACCCAGTGAGTATCGATGGCTTGAGCAAATAACCCATTCTTGAATATTTGCGGGCCTACTAAAGATACCTGCACGGCAGAGTATTAGGTCGATCTCGTTGGAGGGATCCGTGAAAGCAAAAAGCGATTTGTGACTAGTAATTTCCTTGTCACCAGACAATAAGGGCACCAATAGCTTCTCGCAACTGAAATCAAAAGAATCTTTGTCCCGGTAAGTTATTTTCCAACCACAAGCGCCAGCTATGTTAACGAAATCTTTAAAGGAGCACTGAAACTCCATGTTATTAACTTAAAGTGAAAAGCTATGCGACAGTGTTATTATATTGTCTACGAGTTGTAGGTTTCATTTCACATTCTTGGTGCTTGGTCGGGCATTGTGGGGTCGCTTTTTATGAGAAAAAGAGGTATACAAGAACTTTAGTACCTTGCACAACAAATAATTTTGGCCCAAAAATCTAATAAAAAGTTGAACATTATAGTATCTTGGAAAAGAAAATCAAACAATTTTAATTTATTCACGCTACGCACTTCTGTTTTGATCGTACTGAATTATGCAAATTTTCAAAAAAATTCCTCGAAAGTCCACACTGTTTTCATGGCCTAATTATAAAAACCCAAAATGAATTTTATATCATCTGAAAGCTCATTATTACAAATCTGTAAATTTCTCTAAGTGTTTTTGCGTAGTAAGGTGTAAAACATTTCTTTAAAATGTTGGTACTTTTTTGACAATTTTCAACGGGTCCAACAAAATAAATTATAAATCATAAACAAAAACACGAAATTCAAAGAAACTCAGCTCAAACATACTTCATACAACGTTTAACATGCTTGAAAAGTTTTAAGAAATATTATGTAGTTTTAAGCGAAAACGAGATCACTAAACTTTACCAATTTTTGACCGTGAAATTTGCATAAATTTTKGCAAAATCGATTTTCTCGATTTTCTCGAAAAATATAAGTAATTTGATCAAACAAAGTATACCTCGATTCTTAGGTCCAGTAGGACTACTAATCATGAAAGTATGAGCAAAATCTAAATTTTGACTGTTGCCACGATATTTTCGATTTTTGATGACATCCACTCTTAAGCTCAGCAATAATCAATATTTATACAGTCTGAGTGACATCATTCTTTTTAATCAACTTTTCAATATCCTTAAATGTACATTAAATGTAAAATTAACTTAAGCTTATAGAAATGAAAGAAAGTAAGCTTTAGTACTTATAGAAGTAGGCAATAACTTTAAGCTTACTGGACCTTATTAACGATCACTGTTTATTACAGGCTATATATAGCTTTATAAGCTATATACCTCGGATTAAGTTGAGGAAATAAATGTGGTTATATACGCACTTGATGTTATGTTATTCACTGTATTAAAAAGAGTGATACCCCAAATAATATGCAAAAAGTTCGGAATTATACAACTTGTGTTTATTTTCTTACAGGGGAACCTCCAATAGTACTCGATATGCTGCATTCCGGGAAACATATTCAATGCTTCACGAACTGAGAGCTTTAGCTTCAGTAAATATGATTGCACTWACTGCAACATCCACAAAATCAACCAGGGAGACAATTATTGAAAGCTTGCAAATGAAGAATCCCTACATCATCTATGAAGCACCAAGTAAACCAAATATTTCTTATTCTGTGTGCTATATGGCAAAAGAAGGAACTGTTAGTGAATATTTCCAGTSGTTGGCAGATTAACTGAAAGAGTTTGGTACAAAGACTACACGCACAATTATTTATTGTCAAACAATAATTCAATGCTCTTTGATATATTCAACTATTAAGGGAATACTAGGAAGTAAGTTGTTTACTGGAGAAGCAAATGACAGAAGGCATGTGCKGTTGGAAATGTTACATTCATGCTCACCAGAATCCAACAAAAATTTGATACTCAAGGCATTTCAAGACAAAGATTYTGATCTACGTGTCCTGGTGGCAACGATAGCATTSGGGATGGGAATCRATTKTWAAGGGGTTTACMGTACAATACATTTTGGACCATCCAAAAATGTTRWATCATACATTCAAGAAAGYGGGCGAGCAGGAAGAGACGGACTGCAGAGTTCCTCATTTATACTATATCAAGGATTAATGCTTAATCATGTCAGCAAAGATATTAAAGAATACCTTAAGACTGATTGCTGCAGAAGGAAACATTTGATTGGAAATTTTGACTTGGCTTCTGAAGTAGACTATCCCAGTCCCATACACTTGTGTTGTGACATCTGTGCAAAGAGTTGTTCATGTGAGAGTCCAGATTGTGGCCTTGCAACAACTTTCCCTTATGATCCTTTGAAGAGAACCTCAAACACAACAAGTGACAGTGAAAGATCAAGGATAATACCTGATGAAGAAAAAGACATGGTTCTGACTTCACTTTATTCCTATCAAAAATCATTGAGGCGAGTTCTAGTACAGATGTCTACTTGCAATATTAAGAACAGTAATATGAAATTTCTCCTTTGCTTTTCTGAGTTGCAAATTGATCAAGTTATGAAGAACTGTCATAGACTGTTTACAATTGATGATGTGATGCAGTATGTTGAAATATGGGACATCAAGCATGCCTATAATATATTAAGAATTATCAGTCAAACCTTTGGAGATATTTCTGATGAATTTTTACATTTTGATAGTGAAGAAGAACAAGAAGAATCTTGTCTTAACGACAATGATTTTGGTGAGTGGAATTGCTTATTAGAAGATGATGAGTTGTTTGAATTAGCACTGGTGAACTTATCTGCTTCTCTTCTGGATATTTCCGTGGATGAGACRTTAAATAATTCAAATAATGTTGACCTACCCAGTTCTGCTTTGGGTGCATTAGAATTTATGACCTTATAAACATTTTTTGTAAATGCATGTGTTTATAAGGTCATAAATTCTAATGCAATTATTTAAAATATTTAATGTCTCATTGATGAAGATATCCAGAAGAGAAGCAGAAGTTCACYAGTGGAAATTCAARCWACYATCTTCTTGCTAATAAGCTATTCCAATCACCAAAATCATCATCGTTAAAGGCCCAGTAARTTAAGAGATTTTGATTGTTCTTCAACTTCACCATCAAAATCTAAAAATTCATTAGAAATATCTCTCATATAGTTGATATGTCATATTTATATGTTATAATAACATTGAAAACTCAAACAAAGGCAAAAAAAGAGTAATTTTAATTAATTTGTAGGCAATCACATCACATGCAAGAAAGAACTACAAAAGAGTTACCCAGTGTCTAGGAAAATGATCAGGAAAATTTAATTTAGCAAAGCAGGAAACTCTTTCAGAATCAAATATTACACTATTCAATTGATTGCAATCACTACTGATTGGTAGGAAATTGCTTATAAAATGYAAACGTCGACATGGGGTTGTATAAATATTGATTTCAATTTCACTATGATACCACATTAGAGTACAAACACTAAAAGTGTGCAACACTTTGCACCATTTACTACAAATAAATAGTGTTAATTAAACAATAGAATTAGCATAATCCAGTAGTATTTAGTGGTATTTATGTTGCACAGTTTTAGTGTTTGTACTCTAATCATTTTATTATCATTTTATTATTATTAGAATAACTGCATTTTTTGTAAAATAATATCAAAACACCTGTGTGGCTACAAAAACTAGGGTAATGGTATTATCATCATCTCTTCAGTATATTCCTTTCTGTAAAACCTCTAGAATTACAGCAGAGTTTAAGAAATTCTGGAAATAGAACAACTTACATGTATCCAATTATCTTGCTTTGATGCCAAGAACTACATTTTTTTTTGTGGCCATTAATCCATTTGTACATGGATGATATGTCCAAGCCTTTCAAGTGATCCCTTTCAAATCCCTTGAAGTAACTGTATGATCTGCTTTCATGTCTGCTGTATATGTYTGTGTCCATTGCTCTTGTTACTAAGGTATCAAGATCTCTTTCGGTTTCACTATGAGTATGTCTGCCAGAATCAGTTATCCTTTGCAAGCTGTCATCAAGGTTTTTCATCAGTTTTCTCATGTCTCTTTCGAATGAATGCATCTGTAAAATTTAAGAAAAGTAATCCATCTTCTAACAAGGCACTGTTATAGTTATAGATATCATCTGCATTCCCTTTCTCATCCTTTGAGGACTTGTTAAGAGCCATTTTTGAATTCTCTAATGGTGTTTGKCTTAAGTGACTTTCCTCATGTTTCCTTCGGCTAGCTCCATCATACTTAAAGCTTGCCTTACAGCCTTCGACTCTACAGGGATATCGTCCATCAGCTGTTTGTGGTTGATGATTGGAATTGTCCTCTTGTTCTTGTGTCAATATGATTTGGTCACAAATTTCATTAGCACCAGTAGACTCTTTCAGAACCAACTCGTCAATAATTTTGGCTGCTGCCTTGTGTAAACACCTTAGCTTCTGTTCTTTACTTATATTCTCTATATCTTCTGGCAGCTGGAACTCAGTGGGGCTTGAGGATTTGTCCTTTATACCAAGAATCTTCATTGCAGCAACTATGATTCTTGAGTTTAGCACCAGAAGGAAGAAATCACGATCTGCTCTGTAAGCAGTTTTTGGCTCCTCTTTCACATTTCTCCTGTTGATCAAGGTCCGATCAGAATATAAAGTGGAGACATCRCCCTCTGATTGACAACTATAGTAGCGTTTGAAGATTCTCTGCAAAAGTAGGAATGTATATGATTTAAACATTCAAAGTTGTATAGAAATAGAATGTTTTTAGGACATGAAAATGAATGGAAAACAATGAAAAATGGGAATTGGTTAAAACCGACTGGAAGACTTGGGGTTAGAAATGTGACTTGAAATGAGACTTGGCCCTCATACACATTTCTAAACTGTGACCATTTTTTTATATAAGAGGAGAAAGAAAGCAATATTAATATCACTTAATATCACCAAATAGTGCAATAAAGTCTTGACTTAACTAGTGGAATGGATTTTTATTAAAAAGCACTTACAGTCAAAATTTTTACAGCTGCATGCCAATCACCAATTTGCAAATTGAAGCCTTCGAGACGCTCTTCAGAACTCAATCCATTGCTCACTGATGCTATCACATTCACTGCTCTCTCTATTGAAAGCTGGTCTCCAGTGATAAGTTGAGGATCAAATTTATCTTCTGAGACTTTAGGGAGGTATGTTTGGAATTGTCGAAGTATGTCCAACATTTCTGCATTTTCATTTTCACTTTTAAAAATAACACCCAATGGAATCTGCATTTTTACAAATTTGGCATGAGCAATTGCATTTAAACAATCAAAAGTAAAGTTGTCTANCCAGTAGACTCTTTCAGAACCAACTCGTCAATAATTTTGGCTGCTGCCTTGTGTAAACACCTTAGCTTCTGTTCTTTACTTATATTCTCTATATCTTCTGGCAGCTGGAACTCAGTGGGGCTTGAGGATTTGTCCTTTATACCAAGAATCTTCATTGCAACAACTATGATTCTTGAGTTTAGCACCAGAAGGAAGAAATCACGATCTGCTCTGTAAGCACTTTTTGGCTCCTCTTTTACATTTCTCCTGTTGATCAAGGTCCGATCAGAATATAAAGTGGAGATATCACCCTCTGATTGACAACTATAGTAGCGTTTGAAGATTCTCTGCAAAAGTAGGAATGTATATGATTTAAACATTCAAAGTTGTATAGAAATAGTATGTTTTTAGGACATGAAAATGAATGGAAAACAATGAAAAATGGGAATTGGTTAAAACCGACTGGAAGACTTGGGGTTAGAAATGTGATTGAGACTTGGCCCTCATACACATTTCTAAACTGTGACCATTTTTTTATATAAGAGGAGAAAGAATGCAATATTAATATCACATAAACCAAATAGTGCAATAAAGTCTTGACTTAACTAGTGGAATGGATTTTTATTAAAAAGCACTTACAGTCAAAATTTTTACAGCTGCATGCCAATCACCAATTTGCAATTGAAGCCTTCGAGACGTTCTTCAGAACTCAATCCATTGCTCACTGATGCTATCACATCCACTGCTCTCTCTATTGAAAGCTGGTCTCCAGTGATAAGTTGAGGATCAAATTTATCTTCTGAGACTTTAGGGAGGTATGTTTGGAATTGTCCGAAGTATGTCCAGCATTTCTGCATTTTTACAAATTTGGCATGAGCAATTGCATTTAGACAATCAAAAGTAAAGTTGTCTAGTCAGATAATTTATAAATTAATACTAAAGTCATGTGCATATATTATTTTTCACCAATTGACTCAATATTCATCAAAGTGCAATTTTCAGGCCAACTTTGCACAATGCTAATAATTTGCAATTCAATCTCGACTTGACATTCCTTGCAGATAAGCTTAAGAAGTTTTTATGCAAATATGGATTATAATGTACCATTCAATATAACAATATAAAGATTAGATTATCCTCAGAAACAACACTAATCAAGAAATAAATTGGTACATATATTATCACCAATAGATGTACAAAAATATAGTTTTCCTTTTACCTTCTCAGACTTTCCTGCCATTACTTTACTGTACTTGTGTGGTATGTGCTTAATGYAGGCTTCTTTCAGTGGACTGAAACAAGAGAAGTAGCTTACCAGGACTCTTGATACTAGAACAATATAGTTGTGTCGCTGTTGTTCATAATCASGCATAGAAGGGAGGAATTTGATGTTGGGCACATCCAATATTTCTTGTTTTGGGTCTTCCCATTCTAAACTATTTCCAGAAACTCTATTAATTACAACCTTGTGATTGATCAAATGTTCACTTCGATTTTGTTTTTCCATTGTCATATTCTTCCTTTTTATCTCCAAGTCAATGTTGTCAAAAACATTGAGTACCCTGGATGACATGATACTTTAATTGAGGACAAACTGTTCTTTGCTAATAACTTCTCTTTTGACTGGTCAGTTTGGCTTGAGTTACAGGTGTCAACATTACTTTGTAGCCTTTTAACTTCACAGCTTTCCTTGACAATGACACTTTGAGMATGTTTCAGTTCAATATCATGTTCCTCTCCTAATGTATTCATTCTGTCCAATGTGCCTTGKTTTGAGGTGGTAATTTTCATCTTTGACATTCTTGTCAAATTAGTCTAAAAGTTTAATGTTAACAAATGATATTCAGGAATTGACTATTGTAACCATGCAGGAAGGGAGATTGTGTAAATAAAAATAAGGTGTGCTGCAAAAAATATAAAAGGGTGTTTGTGAATGCATGGGAATATAAGCACTTAAAGTGKGGAACATAAATACTACTAACTGCTAAATCATATTAATGTTATTGTTCAGAAAGATGTCATAAAAACAATCAATTGATTTTACAACAATATACACCTTAGTATGCTCAAAT